CCTAGCAGTTCGAAAGCACATAAAATGCAAGTAGAAAAATAGGAACCACCTTTGGTGAGAAGGTAACAGCATTCTGTGTCCCTTCAGCGTCTAGATGTGCCAGCCACATGACCATGGAGACATCTTCGGACAGTGCTGGCTCTTTGGCTTTGAAATGAAGGTGAGTACTGCCCCCTAGAGTCGGGAACAATTAGCACATATGTACAAGGGGATCCTTTACCTTATAATAAGTAGAATTAGCTCATCTGGTCATGTTTCCTGTCTGGTTTACCTTGGAAGGCTGTCACCAGTCTCACAAGTCTGAAAATACAAATCTTTTCGAAATTGAGAACTTTTTCCCTTTTAAGCCTCTCTCCCCACTTTATTCAGCTGTGGGTTATGTTGTCTCTTATTTGACCTTTTCCCTAGGTAGCATCTCCTCCTCCATCTGCCAAACTCAGTTCCAACTACCATTATACAACCCGAATGCAAATAAAAATACATATTGGGGACATAATTATGAGTGGGGGAAATCTTCATTTGGGTTTGTTCCCCCAGTCAAAACCATAAGAGCAACTAGGAGAGTTTCAGCTTGATGACCCAAAGCAGAACCACAATGGTGACTGCTACCTAAAGGACTGGGAAAGAAACCCCAAAAGTACTTTGAGGATGGTGTTGAACACACAGAAGTCTCTCTTCATAAAATATTGGAGACTTTGGAAAAACACGTTTTGATACGGAATTAATTTTAATAATGCAAACGTACAGGACTTCTTCTAGGTTTCATTATCAGGCAATGTGAACTGAAAATGAAAATGGACCATCTCTTTCATCTTCTACTTTTGGGGCTGCCTTTTTTTCCCTGCCAAATCAGTCTTGTTCTTATTTTGCTTCTCATTAAGAAAGCCTTGAGAAAGCTTTAAAAATCTCAGGGTTCCCAGGAATACAGTAAAAAAAGAGAAGCTACTAAGGCGGAGGAATCAGCAGGATGCACAAGCCATAAATACACAGATTTGGAGAACAGATGTACATTTCCTGCTGTTTGGGGAGACGAGACGAGATCAAAAGCGAGCTAGCTGCAATAACCTTGAAGACACATAGTCAGCCACAAAGTCCAATTTATCGAAACAGACTCTCTGACAAGCCGAGTAACAGTCCTGTTTTGAGAGAAGTCGCAATGTTGCTCATATGTTACAGCAGTGGAAAGGGGTTTTTTTCCCCGTCCCCAGCTCTTACAGATGAAGATTGGCTAACAAAGTCATCTCTGGATTAGAGATCCTAGTTTGCATAATATACGCAGAGCCTGCTGGGAGTAAAAATATATGTTCTGATTGCACCACAAACGTAGTAGTCATCCTTACCTTTCAGAGAGGCACTGAGTTTTATAAATATGAGCATGATAGTGTAGAATAATCATATCCAAGGNTGCAGAGGTTCAGCCGCGTCCCTCCCTTTCAGGAGGGAGCGGGTTATCCTCTCCAAGGTGGCTGGGCGTGATTCAGTGGATGCAATAAGAGCGGCAAAATGCGAACATTTCGCCGCCCGTATTGCCACGAGATAGGTTCTAATAAAGGCTCTCACAGTGCTTGGTCTGACTCAGCTTTACTGGCCCTCCAGTGGCGCTCTAGGCGTCTCTTTTGGCATTTCATCTCCCGGAGTTCCTCGGTGAACCAAGGAGCCCTCCTGGATCCGCCACCTTGGAGAGGTCGCAAAGGCGCAATCTGGTTTAGAGCCCCCGCTGCCGCTATATTCCAAGCAGCGACCAAGGACTCCACCGGATTGTGGACGATAGTGTGAGGTTTGTCTCCAAGCGCCGTCTGAAACCCCATTGGGTCCATCAGGCGCCTGGGGCGGAACCACCTAATCGGTTCCTCCTCCCTACAGTGGGGGATTGGCCTCCGAAAGTCAAGCCTCAGCAGGAAGTGATCAGACCATGACAAGGGCAAGATTTCAACTCTAGATTTTCAGGACTCCAAAAGTTTCAATTGCTCCTGGGTACTCCTTCCTACTTTCACTTATCCAAAACATATTTCCACCCTATGCTGAATTTCAGTCATTTCAAGTATTGCGAAGTGTACTTCTGATTCTTCCATAAACACTATTCAATGCCGCAAAATGTGCAGTTAGGACCAGCCATTGAATATGCAATGACTTTGGTTGCACCGATTTGTGTAGTCTGACAAGCATTTAGTTAAACCCACATCTCCCTTGTATATACAGGTATATATTAATCCACTTCACACTACAAGATGAGGCCACTTCATTTAGATCTTTCAATATTTTTTCCCAGTTTTATGGATACACAAATTCCCTACTTTTTTCTTTTTCTTTGTGTTGGTAAATTCATTCTCTTTAGTGTTTTCTCTGATTTGCTCCAAATCTCAATATTCAATATACTGAGGGCATCATAGATATGGATCTCTACTATCTATCATGCTTTTTGGTTAATATAAGATACTCTTATAGGCACTCAACGCATATACAACATTGCTTGCCATGTATTAGCAAGGACAATACCAGTCACTGTTGATGCTTTGGGGCAGAATTCTATAAGTACAACCAAAGTCCACTTCTACCCAAGGGAGCTTATGTGATTTTGTGCAAATTCAGGTCACTGATTCATAGGGTGCCTTGCAAATCAATCAGTGTTTATCCAT